TGGAGGATTCCGTCCTCTTCGTATCGGGCTGGATTGAACCGCCGGCGTAGGGAATTCGGATAATCGCTCCTCAGTATTTTGCGTAAACACGCTTATTCTGATGATCATCCCGGGTAAATATATAAACTTATGTACTCGCATTTTTAAATTTTAAAAATTCTTCTTTAAAAAAAAATGTTAATTTTCAAAAAAAAATATTTTAATTATAAAGAAAATAATTTTCAAAAATACTTTAATTATATAAAAAAAATTATGATATAAACGCCAATTTCTTTTATTCAAAACATCGTGACACCCCATAATTATTCTGCCAACACTTGCCACGCTCGTAAATTTTAACATCTCTTGTAATTTTTTCTCCACAAACATCCCAAATTTTACATTTTTTTCCTTGTGTTCAATTATAAACAACCCCCTTTTTTTTACAACGACCTTGTTCACAACTCTTTTTACTCCACAAATTGATTAATTAATTATAAAAATTAATTTCAAAAAAAAATTTTAAATAAATTAAACAACCCGTAATAAGAAAACATCCCATAATTAAATAAATTAGACAACTCGTAATAAGAAACATCCCTTAATAAGATATAAATACTGTTATTGACCACAGCGATATATCTTAATTAACTCCTTCTGTATTTAATCCAAATGATATATTTAAATCAACTCCGGTAATTAGACAACCCGTAATAATATATAAATACTGTTGTCAACCAACGCAATATATTTTGGTCAACTCCCTTAATTACACATCCCTTAAGAAGAAAACCCTACGCATTAAGATATATATATCTATATCGAATAAGATTATCTAACTCTTTGTCCTTGGACATTAACAATTTCCCAAGAGATAACTCTTGTTTTACCTCCCCCTTTTTTCTTTAAATATATTACCACCTTTTAGTCAGGCTTGCAACTCCTTGTCCTTAGATATTACAAATTCACAAAGATAGAACTCTTGTTTCACCCCCTCTTTTTATATATTACAACTCTTTAGTCCCGATATTTCACTTGGTCAATCAGGGTTTGCATCTCCTTGTCCTTATATATTATAAATTCACCAAGACATAACTCTTGGTTTCACCCCTTTTCTTTTATACATTACACTCTTTATTCCAGATATTTCACTTCTCTCTCAACACTTTACCTCCCAATCTCAACCGTACAACTCTTTATTCCTGATATTTCACTTCCCGATATTTCACTTGGTCAATCAGGTTTTGCATCTCCTTGTCCTTATATATTACAAATTCACCAAGACATAACTCTTGGTTTCACCCCCTTTCTTTTATACATTACACTCTTTATTCCAGATATTTCACTTCTCTCTCAACACTTTACCTCCCGATCTCAACCGTACAACTCTTTATTCCTGATATTTCACTTCTCCCTCAACACTTCACCTCCCGATCTCAACCGCCCCGGTTCAATTCCCCTCCGTATTTGATCGGAATGTCTTATACCATCTCTTCCATCCCCAAACCTGACTTTATATAATCTGCTCCCCAATTTCTCCATTATTATTCCCAACTCCCATTTCCTTGAACCTCCATAATTTCTGATCCACACATTTTGACCTATCACAAATCCGCAGGTCTTATTCACCACTTGCTCATCATTGACCGTTGTCATTTGCAACTCATCAGGCGCGGGCTTCAATAAATCCAATAGCATACGAGTCCGACGCCCCAAATATTTCTCCGCTGGAGACCTTTCCTCCCCTTTTTTGCTATTGTTGTAATACGCTACCGCTATCCAAATCTCGCCCCCTCCATATTTAGATTTTCTTAACCAACTCTTTACTACCGCCACCATTCGTTCCGCCTGACCATTGGAACTCGGATGATAAGGTGGAGCTAATATATGTTTTGCACCCGTTTCAGCACAGAAGGTTTCAAAATTCCTACTTACAAACGCTGGCCCACCATCCGAAACAATTATTTTTGCAACCCCAAACCTGGCCCACAGATTTTTTAATGTTTTTATCACCATTTGCGTCGTTAAACCTCTCACCTCCTCATATTCTACCCACTTTGAATAAGCATCCACCACAAGTATATAGATCTTGTTCTCAAAATCAAAAAAGTCGATGTGAACCCTGTCCCACGCCTGAGTAGCTTTCGGCCAAACACTTTCTTTATCTCTACGAGGCATACTGGCCCAAGAGTTACACATCACGCAACCCCGGCTTATATTTATAATCTCCTCATTCATTCCGGGCCACCACACATATTCTCTTCCCCATTGTTTCATTCGTTCAACCCCTTGATGCCCAGCATGAATCATGTTCAACACGGCTTCCCTTAATTTCCTCGGAACTACTCCACGATTTCCTCGCACCACACATTCATCCATTATTGTCAACTCTTTTTCTACATTTTTGAACCTCTTGTCCTCAATTCTCCATGGTTTTCTACCCGCTATACACGCCTTAATTCGTGTCAACTCTCGATCCTTCAATGTAGCACTTTTCAGCCCTTCCCATGTTACGGGTCCTCCTCTAGATATTGCCGCTACCGTTCGAATCAACCCTTGCTCATTCTCTTCCTCATCCCCTTTTCTTTCATCACAAATTTCTCCTGCTCCACATCTGGATAAAATATCCGGTAAATAATTCTCTCTCCCACGCCGATATTTGACTTGAACATCAAAACTACCCACCAATAATAACCATCTCTGTAATCTTGGCGATAACATCAACTCTTTATTATCCTTCTTAAAAAGATGCACTAAAGGTTTGTGATCTGTATATATAAAAAACTTCCGCCCAATTAAATATTCCCTACACTTGGTCAACCCAAATATTACCGCCAACGCCTCTTTTTCAATAACCGAGTACCTCGTCTCCGGTGACTTAAAGATCCGGGAGAAAAATACAACCGGTCTTTCCAACCCATCTATATAATGTAATAAGGCTCCACCAACCCCTTTATTGGATGCATCCACTGCCAACACAACCTCCAAATCATTGTTATAACACACAAGCACTGGTTCCTTTCCAATCTTACATTTCAACGCTTTAAACGCCTCCTCCTGCTCGTTCTTCCACTCAAAACGTGCTCCTTTTTTCAACAATTCATATAATGGTGCCGCTATTTGCGCAAAATCCTCCACAAATCGATGATAATAGTTGACCATCCCTAAAAATGATTGTATCTCCACTTTATTACTTGGCCTACACATATTTGTTATTTCAAACATATTTTTATCTATGGGTCTCACCTCCTTTCCTGTAATTCTGTGTCCCAAATACACAACTTCTGTGACCCCCAACACACTTTTTTCAGCACTTGTTCGCAAACCCTTTTCCTGAATTCTCCTAAACACCTCTCCCAACCTCTGTTCATGTTGTTCAGGCGTTACTCCCGTCACCAGCACATCATCCATATAATAGTAAACCCCCTTCAACCCCTGAAAAATAGCCGCCATGGTCCGCTGAAAAATTGGAGCCGATACGCTAAGTCCAAACGGCAATCTACAAAATGCATACAACCCTTGCGGAGTAGTAATTGTTAACAAATTTCTCACCTCTGGCCTCACTCGCAGTTGTAAATACGCATTGGAAAAATCCACTTGGGAAAATATAAACTCCCCTTTAAATTGGCCAATATCTCCTCAATCCGTGGCAACGGATATTTTACTTCTACAACCCACGGGTTTAAAGTTACCCGGAAATCTGCGCACAATCGAAGCTTCCCATTTGCTTTCTTCACAGGCACTAAGGGCGTTGCCCACTCACTATATTCCACTGGACATACTATGACCCTTCTCACCCATTGATTCAACTCTATTTCCACCTCCTTTCGCCATTCAAACGGTATTCTTCGCAACGCACAAAATTTTGGTACACTATTTTCCTTTAATTTAATATCTACTTCGTAATCCCTTAAGCATCCCAACCCTTCGTCAAAAATCTCCTTATATTTGTTAATTAATTTCTCAACTCCTTCCCGCACTCGCGCCATTCCTAACTCCATATCTTTTTCACTTCTCAATTTTTCCGTCTCCAGCTCTTCTCCTCGCAACTCAATTTCTCTTTTTTGCAACCCATTGCATGACATTTCGCGATCCTCCCCCAAGTCCCCCTTTTAAAATTCTCCCCTATTTCCCCCTTAAAAGTCTCCCCTATTTCCTCCCTAAAATTTTCCCTTATTTCCCCCCTAAAATTATCACCTATTTCCCCCTTAAAAGTCTCCCTTATTTCCCCCTTAAAATTTTCTCTTTTTCCCCCCTAAAATTATCACCTATTTCCCCCCTAAAATTATCACCTATTTCCCCCCTAAAAGTCTCCCTTATTTCCCCCTTAAAATTTTCTCTTATTTCCCCCCTAAAATTCTCACCTATTTCCCCCTTAAAATTTTCCCTTATTTCAAACCTTCCCTCCCCTTCTCCTATCTCCTTTTTATTAAATGTAGTCTCAACCCCTGGCAACCTTTGATTACCCGAATATATCATACTTTAATTTTCATCATCACCTACAATGGGCAAAAATATACCACACCATGCAAATACACCCTAAAAACTATACCATGGACCAATGCGTACAATCCATTCCCATCCCAAAACCGTTTCAACTCTTTTATCAATGATCCAAAAATCCAACACTACTATTCTGCTCTCTATCATCAACTCAATCTCGACTCTTCCCATTGCCATCTCTGATCCATCGAATTGTCGAACCTTTATTTCTTCTCTTTTTATTCTTCCATCTGGCCAAACACTTTGATATGTATCATATCCCATCACTGTAATCGCCGCCCCTGTATCAAATAACATTGGCACAAAATTTCCATTAAAATTTAACAACACTCTGGGACAAATATCATACGCCCTCCCTTCTTGTAACATTTTTATATCTTTTTTTCTTCTATTTTACTATTGTAATACAAATTTTTCAACCCTTTTTCTTTCCTTTTTCCAATTACATCCTTGGATTTTATATTTTTCAACTCTTTTTCCTGCCCTCTTTTAATTATATTATCCACACTATCATATAGTCAACAATTTAAACAATCTCTAGCCACATGCCCTTCCTTCCGACATTTAAAACACATCGCATTCAACGCCTTTCTTTCCTCAGTATGTTTCGACACAATTATTCCTTCGCTCCTCTTATTTTCTATAGTTCGTACCATGGGAGTATTTTGTTGATCCATTCCCGGGAAACCACCCCTTGTATTATATCTATCTAAATTACAATCCTCTTTATTATGACCAAATCTCCCGCACCCGGCGCCTCTCAATCTTTCTTGTTTCTGCGGACAAAAGGGTGCTATATGACCACGTTTGCCGCATCCAAAACACTTTGTTTCTTGACAATCCCTAACTATATGTCCTTGTCCACCACAATTATAACAAGTTATGTCTCCTCTCCCTCGAGAATTAAATCTCGGTCTCATCTCCGTTCTATTTTTCACCAGATTTTCTCTGTCTCCATATGGCCTCAACACTTGACTTTTATACCCATATTTTCCAAATACATCACCTTCAGCACGTCTATTTATTAAATTATTTTCTGACAAACCTAATACCTCACTATCAGTCCAACCCTTTATTAATTCCTGCACTGGCAACCATGTTACTTTTCCCATCACATCCTCCTCTCCATTATTTCCTTCTATCGTTAAAGTCTGCCCTTTGATTCTAAAACTTCGATTGCGCCTAGTCCTCCTTCCTAGGATTAAACTACACATCCATATATCCAACACCAGCAACGCTCCAATAATATTATATTGAACTTCCCAGTATTTTATAAATTTAAAACTTTTCATCTCACAAAAAATTGACAATCATCTTTAGAATAAATATTTTAATAATTTGTAGTGTTAATAAATAAGACAGTATTAATAACGTAAATACTCCAAATATACACTTATACATATATTCAACTCAAACTTTTTCTTCGTTAAATTCGTTTCGAACTTCTCCTGTAATTTTATTTAATACCAATTTAACAACAATTTCTATTAAATCAAATCCGTTAATACAATTACAATATAATTTTTCAACCCACTTGTATATTCTGTTTAACTTCAACTCTTTAAAATTTATTCAATAATTTACAACACTTGTATATTTTGTTCAAATACAACTCTTTAAAATTTATTCAACAATTCACAACACTTGGATTTTGGTCACGGCACCAATGTAGTATTTCTCTCCCTTATTAACACTTTTTAATAAAAAAAACGATCAACTCTTTCAACACAATTTTCTTATTTCAAACTATTTGTTTCAACTCCTTAAAATTTAATTAATTTCCACACTTAACTTTTGATAATAATTTTCTTATTTAAAAAAAAACTTACGTCAACTCCTCTTTTTTTTTAACAACTCCCTTTTTTTTATCTTTTATTAATTTTATTTTTCAAAAATTTAATCAAAAAAATATAATGAATTTAAAACAAAAATTTTCTCTTTTCAACAACAATAATAATAATAATAATAATAATTTCAATATTATAATTTTTTTTAAAATAAAATCAATAAAATGTAATTAATTTACGATAATTATAATACGCAATCAATAAAATGTAAAATGTAATTTAAGATAATTATAATACGCAATCAATAAAATGTAAAATGCAATTTAAGATAATTATAATACAATTATTATGAATAGAATCACTTGATGACACTTTTATATAATTTAAATTCTTTGATTTACAGCAAAATCATTGAGCTGGACATCTCACTTCTCGGTTATGAATAAAACCACATTTATAACATTAAAGTTTATTATAATCTTTATCATAATTATATTTGTATTTATTATCAAATGTAGTCGTCGTTTTAATTAGATGTTTATAATTATTATCATTATCATTTCTTTTTTTATTATCATTTATCTTATTAATAACAGGCATATTTTTATTTGCCATTTCTTTATCTGCTCGCTCAGAAGCTAATGCCAGATCATGAATAAATTGAAAAGTCAGTACATTATTATCTCTATCAAGACCGTCGGGATATAGAGCTCTAAGATCTCTTTCCAATCACGGTATTTCCATGCCAGCCATAAACTAATCACGTAAACGCTCGTCAATATCATTAAGATAATGACAACGCTTGCCAATTGTTCTAATTTTATCTGCAAATTCAGTTATGGTTTCAGTTGTTCTCCGTAATCTAACGAAATCAAATCTAGAAGCAAAAGCTGTTGACGTCGGTTTAAATAGTTTGAAACATATTGACTTAATTTCCTTAAAAGATAAAGTTTCGATCGAATCAGGATAACAAAAACGGTCCACCAACTTAATATTCTTATTGCCAAAAAATGTTAAAAATATATCTTTATATTGACATTCAGATGGGCTTACGTTTTTTAACCGAAAACTGGCTTCTCATTGAGAAAAATATCTATGGATTGAAGTGTCCAACTCAAATTTATCAATTATCCGCTATTTTTTTTGAATCTCCATTTAAGGAATTATTTTCTCCATTTAAGGAATTATTATCTCCATTTAAGGAATTATTTTCTCCATTTATCGTCGCCATTTGTAGTAATACCGACTACTAATTATAAACAATACGACTACTAATTTATATTTCAATTTATTTCTATCATCAAATTTTTATTAATTAATTTTCGAATATTCTATTCTATTTTTATATATAATATCTATAAATAATATTTTACTAATTTATTACAGTTATCTTAATCAAATTTTTTAAATATTCTTTTCGAAATTAATATTTATTCTTTTCAATATACGTCATACGTCATAATAAGCGCAATCGCCCTTTATCGCTATATGAAACAGCAGAGCTACGCTTGGAATATCTCTTCCCATCTAATTGGGTTAAGAAATTTGGGGGTAGCATATGAGATGAGCCCATCCACAATTCTTGGGCAGGCTGCAGTTGAGGCGAAACCACTTGATTAAACGCCTACGGGAGATAAGAAGAGAGAGAAAAGCCCGATAAATAGTATTACAAAGAATAAATGCTTCATTAATTTTGAAAGTGTCTTTTAAATTAGGGCTTCAATTAAAATTTTAAAAATTTGTTAAAAATTTAGTTGGCGCATTAAAGCTCTAGCTTAATATTGTCCTGCTAAAAAAAATATATAAATCCTATTTTTCAAAAAGAATTCGATTTTGGCTAGATTGGGTTGGGCCAAATATTTTTAAAAAAAATTGGGTTTGACAGGTAACTTAAATTTGGAAATATAGTATTTTAATTTTGTGAAAAAATATACAATTATTTGATTTAGATAAATTTGAACAGAAAATATTTAATATTTTAACCATCAACATTAAATAGGAAACTGATGTATTTAAATCGAATTAAATTGACTGCTATTCATTGTCTAAGGTAGAAACCTTCTTCATTTGAGTTTTTGGTTTTTAATATAATGCGAACCGAAAGAATATAGCGTTGTAACAATTATTAGTATGAATAGGAGGTAAAAGAGAAGAATATTTTGCAGATTCACTTTGTTCTGCGTCGACAATAGCATCATGGTTTGAGTTTGAGGACTAGAGTGGGTCTACACAAGAAAAATCCGAACCTACCACTCTTCGATGGAAGCTTGGGTAAAACATCAGGTAATAGCGTCCTGTGGGTGAGGGCATGTAGGGACTCGAGCCCCCTAAAAAATTTAAAAATCCCCTTTTCTTTTATACCAAATGTAATTTTGATAATGTTAGCTTAAAAAATAAGGTATGTTAGTTAAAAAAAAAAGAAAAAGGCAATATCGGATAATGTTAGCCAAAAAAAGTAATTTTAGATAATGTTAGATAAAAAAAGGGTAATTTTGCATAATATTAGTTTTAAGAAAATTTAATTTGAAAATAGTTTTTAAAAATTTTTTTGGGCCCCCTGAGATCATAAAGGCTAGTGTCCCTGCCATCAGGATGTTTACCATCAGTGGCGTTGCTAGGAGGGGGTGGCAAGGGGCTCGAGCCCCCTGAAAAATTTGAATAGCCCCTGAAGCAAAAAATTTTTTTTTAAAATTAAATAATTTTTTATAATTGCTCCTTAATATCCACTTGAACTAAAAATAAATTTTTTTAATTGCCCCTTCAACGATTTTTTTTATAATTCTATTGAGTAATATATAGATTTAATTTTATTATTTAAAAATTAATAAAACTATCTAAATTTTTATTAAAAGAATACTATTTTAATTATTAGATTAGATTATACATATAAATTATATGTTCACTCTGTCAGCTTGCAATCAAATTATGTTTTAAAAATATATCAATATCACTCACTAAATATTAATTTAGCATTAACAGTCGACTTTTATTATTTATATTATTATATAACCTTAATTAAATAAATATAATCATTTTTTAATTGATAATTACAAATTTAATATTGTAATTAGCCGAGTTCAAAATCACTAATCAACTACATTTTGATTTTTAAATTATCATGTCTCTTCCTACAATTATTTTCAAGGTCCAAATCCAAATGAGTATAAGATATTTATTTATAAAAAGTAAGTAAATAAATAGTTTATAATCCTTTATAATATATAATTATTTATAAAATATTAGGTAAAATGCCACTTTTACATATATATTTGACATTTATATAATATATTACAGTTAATAATTTTAAAATTTTAATAATAATGCTTTTGATAATAAATATAAGTATCAATTTGCATTCAATTATTTAGCGCCATCTATTTATTAAATATATTATTAAAATTAAACTTATTATTCATCCCACAATGGATGTAATAAATTTTATATCTTTTCTTCTCTTTTTTACGTGTTTTTAGGAAAGCTATTTTTCTTCTTCTTTGAAAAACAGTTTTGAATTAAATTTTTAATACGAATATATTTTTGATATTATTACAATATATTATTGTTTTAAGATATAATAAACCAACTAGAGGTGGTGCGACAATAATATCATAGCACTCTGGTTTTTATTTTATAGTTAAAAATTTCTAATACAGCATCCTTGGGGTGTAAATAACTCAAAACTTCAATATATTTGTATAATTTCTTCTAAAGATTTTTACTGTTTTGCTTTATCAGTTTATCTAACATAATAAATTCTGATATGGGTTACCATCGTGAGTGTCATGACCTTTTGTCAATGTAACTTGCTAGAATTATATAGCCTTATGTGGTTTTTATTATCAATTGAGGGGCATATGTATGAATTAATTAACCTTTTTTAACACTTGTACTTATTTACGCAAAATTTTTTTATGTCAGCAATCGAAAATATTTTATACTGTAATAAATAGATTTTATATTAAAAAATATTATTTTTAGAAATTTATTGTATTATTTTAATTATTTATATGCTAGTTTATTTTGTATGCAAAATATTATAAATGACAAAATAATTCAGAATAATTGTCTAGAGTTAGCATATTTTAAAAATGTATAATATATTAATATAAACCCGGCCGAATGCAGGGCAAAAGCGGGCCAATACCCGCAAATTAGGGATTATGAAGGGCGAAGCCCTCCATAATTTTTTTTTAGCGACGCCCCTGTTTACCATTAACGTTAGAAAGTCTAATCGGCTCAAGGGTTGAAGGAATTGTAGCACATTTAAAGGCCGAGATATAATATAGTGCCATTAATTTTGTATGTCTTCGAAATTTACTACTACATTGTTTGAAATGTAGGGAATGGCGACCTTTCGATCAATAAGAGTCTGAAAAAGTGAACATGAGTATGTTATTGATATATTGTTAACTCTGTACGATGGCATGCCTTAGCTCATCGATTGGGAGAATCAATTATATTATTTAATAATTAAAAAAAGAATATTATGTATACAATTTTTTTTTAAATTAAAACATAAAGAACGGATCCTAATTTTTTTTTCCTATCAAATCAAAACATATTTCATTATATATATATATATATATATACTATATTCTAATCATAAACTATAACATAGTAAAAATAAAAATAAAAAGACGCTCATTCAATAAAAAATTGAAACTATAAGTTCCCAAATCACAAATAATGAAATAAAAATAGAAAGAAAAAAAAAGAAATACAGATAGTAAGAAAGAAAATAATTTAAATTATTTTTTTTAATGATAAAAATAATTGAGTTCTGATGTAAGGGTTTTTATTTTACCGCCTATACTTCAAAGAAAATTTAAGTTCCGCTTGACATATGTCCAAGGCAAGAGATAACGATTGGTATAAACATAATTTGTTTATTTAGAATATTATAGAAAGTAACTTAAGGGATATTTTCACCAGTATCATTGATCGGGTGAGATAGTAAATTTGAAAATGGGTTATAATAGCATTAGTGTATTTATCTTCTTTTCTAAATTGAGGCAAGAACGTGATGCTCTTCGGTAAATGTAAGGAGTGTATTTCTATAAAATTATTGGATATATTGGCAATATGCTTTATTTATAAAGTTATACCTTTATTTTAAATAATTTAAATTTCTAATATTAATTTACTAAATAATTTTTAATTTAAATTAGCGGCAATATTTTAATGAGGAAATACATATGAAGGAGCAATATCAAGGATAAACGTTTAAAAATGCAATAGTTAAGCATTCCAGTTATTTCAAAACTTATTTTCCATTTAATCAAACAGTTTACAATTCCACAAATGGGAAAATATATTATAATAATATTCTTTATAACATTAGACATATTTTTTGCAGATGAATTATGTCCAAATAATTCTGTTAAAACATTATGTAAATGCATTCCCGAGAAAAATACTACGAAAGTCATTTGTTATAACAAGAAATATATACAATTATACGACGATCTCAGATTATTTGAATATTTTAACATATCCAATTTATATTTAAAACTAAATTATTTGCCAATCGTTAAAAATGATATGTTTAAAGGTCTAAAAATTAAAAAATTAATTTTTGTCAAAAATCATATCGAAGATTTCGAGCCATATGCATTTCGTGGTTTAGACATTGACACCCTCAAAATATCCGAGGAGTTATTTGAAACAGACAATAAAACTTTGGCTAATATTCCTGTTGAGGCATTGAAACATTTGACAAATTTGAAAGATCTTCTAATCCTTGGATCTAATGTAAAAGAGATACCCGAGTTTGCATTTCAAAATTCAACAAATTTGAAAGAATTATACTTTCTTACATTTTACCTTAACAAAATTTATACGAATTCATTTGCAGGTTTAAATAATTTGAAAAAATTGTATATAGCATCGTTAAAACTGGAAGAAATTTCGTCAGCCATATTTGCACCATTAGAAAATTTGCAATATTTGTTTTTATCCCTGAAGTCTATGAAAACCCTTAAAAGAGAACAATTTAGCACCCTCAAAAATTTGACCAGTCTTAACCTAGATCATTCGGATGTAGAAAATATTGAATTTCAATGTTTTGAAAATTTTAATCATTCTCTTATCCTGTTATCAATGATAGGCAACCGACTGCACGACATAGGGGCAGTATTTAATTATTTGTCGGCGTTGAAAGATCTAATTCTCTCCTTTAATAAAATTATCAAGATTAATAGTGACAGCCTTCAAAATTTGACAATGTTAGAAAGCTTAGATTTGAGTTACAATAAAATAAAATTTATTGGGGACAATGTTTTGACAAGGAGTAAAAACTTGAATGATATCGACATTAGATCTAACCATTTAGTAGATATACCTACAAATATGCTCGGGCAATTTATGGAATTAAAAAAATTTGATATATCGAAAAATTTTATCTTTCGAGTAGAAGATTATTCTTTCTACAATAATTACAAACTAAAAAACCTCGATATGTCTGACAATATAATAACTTCTTTGTATGCCGATTCTTTCGCGTCATTATATAACTTAGAATACCTTGATTTATCAGACAATTACTTGACGGATATTCCCTTCAAATCTTTCGAAATTTTTCAAAATTTAAAATATTTAAATATGAGTAAAAATAACTTATCAACATTTGACATCGATTCTATATCTAAAACTGATAGTACTTTAAAGTTTATAGGATTGGCGGGTAAATTTTTATTTTTTAAATGACCAATATATTATATATATATATATAAAGAAAATCCCTGGAATTGCAATTGTCAAATGAAGAAGTTGCTTCGATGGTATAACCTATGGTCTTACGAATTATCCCTCAATGAAAGATACTCACAAGAAGAAAACTTAAAATTAGCCAAATGTCAGTATCCTTATTTCTTAAAGGGGATGCCTATATTAGAAGTTTCGATAAACCATATAAATTGTTCCTATATTGATGCGACTTCTAACGAATGGAATAAATGGAATCGTTCCTATGTAAACTCTTTAAGTATCGATAAAAATCATTTGCCTTCCAAATATATGAAGAGTAATTTTGATGAATTGGCCCACACCCATCACATAGAAACCTTTATGAACAATCGTAAAGAAAATAAATTTTCTATTGCCGCTTTAATAATATCGTGTATGACTTTCTTATTTGTTTTGTTTCTGATTTTTAAAAGAGATGATACTAAACCAAATTGTGGAAGGTTTTCGAAGTATTTGACACCATCAATATTTGTAATGTCATCCAAAGGATTAAGCAAAGTGCTCAAAACTACAAAAGTTGAAGATAAACAAAGGATTACTCAGAATGAATACATCACAGATGGGCATACATCAATCAATCATGATTTTTAGGGAGGAATTAATTTAATTAAAACTCATATAATATTATAATTTCAATAATCGGTGGATTCGTTGTAATAAAATTCTCTGAAGCAAATTATAAGGTGCTAAAGTTCTTATGAATTAAAGTTATAAAATTTTATTGGAATATTTAGAATTAGAAAATGTGTATTCACAATAAATCACTGACAAAGCGTCAAATTACTATTAGATAAGCAATTAATTTTTATTAGCCAAAATAATAGGATTTATAAATAAGCTGAAATTCTACAATAACAGTTATTGTTAGATTTTAATTTTTTGGCAGGGAGTGGATACTATTTTAATTTTTTGGCAGGGAGTGGGTAATTTCAGTAAAAAATGATATATTTTTTATATCATAAAAGAGCATTTTTCCATCTTTTTCTTAAGATGAATCTAGGTTTGAACATAAGGTTTAATTTAATGCATTAAGATGGAATCTCCATTTTAATATTGAAACACATCTTTTAGTTGATATATGAACATTGATAAATTTATTATGGCCGATCATTCTCAAAAAATTGAAATCCTATCAGAATTCGATGTATGCCGCCAGATAAAATATCAATGAACAATATCCTGATACTTGCTAAATTTGAATTTGGTGAATTATTTTTCTTTCTATATTTTTTTTAAAAATAATAAATAATAGAAAGCTTGATTTGGATATATAATAAAGGTGAATTTTAGATTTTAAAACCTTAATAAAACCTCAAGTGGTAAACCTATTCTAGATGTATCCTAATCATTAATTGACGTAATCCTTATTTTTATTATATATAAATATAAAGACAGTTAGTTCTAAACTTAATTATAGTATTAAATGCTTTCAATGATTCCCGGGGCCTTTAAGAATTATTTATAATTTAGCGAGTAGGATGAGGAGGATTGGCTTTCTTAGCCTCGCTTCAATACATCGTTGATCTTCCAGGGGAAGTAATTCTTAAAATTCCTTGTTATGCTAGATAAGAGTAATGTCAATGCAGAATCTTATTTAGCCTTTTACTTTACTATTTACACCACATCAACCCCTTGACATACATTTTCTGACTTCACATCTTTGATAAGTCTTATATAGGCATTCGCTTTAAATTATTATATCTTAGTATCTATTAAAATAGTTTACGGGGAACTTCACCGATGACATTTTCCAAGTTTATAAAGCAAATTATATTTCGTTTTTCCCAATAATTTTCTATAGATTTCCTTATCGCATGTAAATTCCCCATATTATAAATGTGTGACTTATCTCTACAATGCTCTAGTCATTCAATTTCAACATCCCTATAAAAAACATTTGCTCCATGTGAATTTTAGTCTTGAATCTTTTCTATTCTAATTTTACCTGGACCAAACATTTACCTATCTTCCTCTTTCACACGGTAACTTTATATTAAATATTTATACATTCATTTAAACCCCCAGCAATTGATAGCACTCTTTATTTCATATAACTTTCTTGCAAACTCTTTTATTCACATCATCTTTCTAATGGGTTTTATGTTAATACCTTTATTTGACTTTTGACTTCTCCTGACAATATCTCATATTGCTTTTGTCACTCTCCTCCTAACTTTTTTCATAGCCTTGACATAAGCATATTTACTTGACTTGTCTCGCTTTATACAATCCTTTTTTTCTCTTTCACATAGATATGAACATTTTTTTATTTCATTACAATGTTTTATTTTCATGTGTTTAAAGAGTTTATACTTAGAGCTTTTTATAGTTTCTTAAATTCATTTATCAAATTTACTTTATATTTAGAGTTATTTACCAAATTTGGAAAGGTCGAATATTACCTTTCTTAATTTCCAGGCGTATAGCTAGGAAATTTCTACGTGTGGGGTAGTTTTTTTATATTAAGATAATTTTTTTAGAATATTAAAAATTTATTAGAATCATTATATAAAATTTATTAGAACCAATCATATTTACTATATAATTTCGAACATAAATAATAAAATATTGGAAAATACAAATTATTTAAGAGCGAATATAATATGTTTAAAAAAATATAGCTTATAACCTGGTATGTAATTCACAATAAAATATAGAATTAAACATTTATATGATGATTTATAAAGTTAATCAAAATATAAACTGGAATAATCTTCTTTGCGATTGCGCTAATTTTTTAATAATTTATTTTGTAATTAAGAATTAAATCTCTATTTATATTAAGTAAAGTTAGTTCATTCAACCAATTTCCGGATGTCGTACTTCTGAGATAGGTTTTTATGCTCTGTAATGAAGGAAAGGTGTCTTTTCATTTATTGTTTGTTGCCAAAATAACAGTAATTTGTATACAATGCTTCCCTGGCGTTTCTTGGAAGATTATTTATTATAATAAATCTTTCTTACCAAGATTTAAATTCTGAAATTAACTAGCCATCAAATACATTATATTCTCTGAATAAAATTGAGCGAAATGCTTAATTATTTAATTGCAATATCAAGATTTAATATATCCCAAGACGGATTTCTAGGTAATAGTAATTTTAAATTGGATAGAGCCATTTGACGAATCACAAATCGGAAATTAATTTGAGTCAGAAATGTATCCAAAAGGGGAATACAAACGGCTATCCTATAGTATTTCTCAATTGAGTCCACGATAATATCGGAATGATTGTTTCCTAGGTGCAAGTCGAGGCTTGCGAATTAAAAATCTTATAATTTCGCTTTCAACATTCACATATAGATCTCACGAAGTTATTGGTAGATGTTATTTCTTAATTTTATAAGTTGTAATATAATAATATTCGCGTAACCATATCCAAATATATTTTTTGAAAAAATTGCATAAAATTGTTGTGTTAATAAATAATATATTAATACATTCTATTGCGAAGAAAAAATCGACTATCCTATGAATCAAATAATGCATCAGAGTCAAAAATATCTGATTCAAGCCATTCTGATATTTCTCCAAAGACCATCAAAATAGGCTCTTCTAAATCCAAAAATGCTGTATAATTATTCTTCTCAGCTAATTTTATATTTCATGTATCTGGAGTTCCAACTCTTGCCTCTTTCTAAATATCCATCCTACTTGTAGGGCTTAGACACAGACAACTATCAAGAGATTATTTTTCCACAATGACCTATTTGTCATTATTTTGTCATAATCCTCAGAATAACATTATAACACAATCAACATTTCTAAATTTTCATTAAATTATAATACAATATGTAGTCATTTCTTTTTTTAAGTTGAAGTAACGTCAGTAGCATCTCATATTTATCCTATCATATGTGTAATAAAAAATGAGGTGAAAGGGGCCTTACTAATCGGTTAAAGTATATCAATATTAAAATCCAAATTGCATTCCAGAAAACACTATTGCATATTTAGCAATTTGAGCTGATACTATCTAAATTACTGTTTTGGTTCATCAACATTAAATACTGTCGAAGGGATTAATGGATGAATTATAACACCGTATTTAGGCTTATTATCACTGAAGACGCAATTTTAAATAGAAATTTATAAATTCTATCAAAAAACGGTTATTGACGTTTAAAAAAATTGGTTTTGAACCGAATACCCCAGTGGTAAGTAAAACATAGTGAGGATAAATCAGCGGGATTGAATAACGTAATCGGCTGTATAAAAATAGAAAATCTAATTTTGAGACATATCATTGGATCAAATATATAATTTTTAAATTCAATTCATTTTAAATTTAACCAATAAAACGTGTGTTAATATTTAATGATAGATAAATATATAATATAAGTGTGGCCAAAAATATAGTTTTTTACAAATCTTTAAATGAATATTATTTTTCGCTATACAAAGCTAATAATATAATACAATTTTTATAAGTAGATGAGAGCATAACAATTCCTAAATAATATCTTTCATTCCCCTTGAATAATCGGCTTATAACTTTGTACAAAATAAATATGAGTTAGTCATGTTAATAGGCTTTGATGAATTAAAGTTAACTGATGAGTAAGATGGAGAATTTTGTTTCTGATACCTAAAATAATAAATAAATAATTTTATCTATTAATTGTATTTTTTGGTTGATTAGAAAGGTTGTTTTCACATAAGTAGAAGCACTTTTTCATGTACAAAGCAGGGCCTCAAATAAACAGATTCAAAAACTTAACTTGAATAAACGGATTGAACAAGAAAGCGACAGGCAATACTTGTGGAATATTTCAAAATATTAAAGAAAAGGTTAGAAAAAGGTTCGAAACGATATAAAAAATTTTATGAAACCCAAGTCATATTTTTCTTTTATTTCCATTCAACCAAGTCAACAAGCATGGATGATTTATTAAGCGTATTAAATTTATAATAAATCCGACTCTAAGTATTAATATATTATCTAAATTAAAATGTGTATATTTTTAATAATTGTAAATAGGAGTATATTAGTGATGAGGCGTGAAATTTATTATTAGGAATTTATTTGTAATACCATTGAAAATATTAAGATTTAAAAATGACTGAATTTATCTTGGTTTTTTTTGAGTAAAATGCTCAAGTACCAAATTGTAAAACTAAAGCTATTGTTTTGTTAAGAGACATTTCCAATTCAAATGATAGTCTGGATAATCAATTATTATTTATTACCCATCCTGTGTCTACAATAAGTTTTTAATCTTCTTAAAGGTGAAAATCTTCGGTCAACATTTATGGTTGTTGTCAAAGTTTGAAATAGTTTTAATTTTTTTAATCAATTAATTAGTGTTGTTGGTATTACTTTTACTATAATGATTTCTTTCTTACAAAAATTTATTGAGCTAAAGGTATTCTTAAATATATTTTTAACAACACAATTTATTTAAAATTAATTATTGCTTTTTCCTTAAAAATTTGTTTTCAAAAATGATTACAATATTAGCGCTTATTTTTTATTCTTAGTTTATTTTTTAAAAGAACAATTTTATATTTGGTTCTTCAGTATTTTCTTAAGATAATATAAAAATTATATCAACATATGTATTGTATTGGCATTAGTGTTACATAATCGATTAAAAATCTCGCTTAAGCCTTATTGGGCTTAGTTTAAGAATCGGCTAAAACTAATTAATCAAGAATTAGGCATCGGCTAAAGAGCTCGGCTAATCTTTCGTCAGCGTTACGTAAGATAAGCTTAGTCTTAATTATTATTTATTCATATTTATTAAAATGATTTATTTGCTATTATTTTATTTGTATTTATTAGGTAACACTGAAGGACGAATGCCCCATCTCCTTGGCCGATGCCTAAATTTTAACAAATTAGTTTTCTCCGATTTTTTCACATAAAAACTAGGTTAGGCCCTTTTGGAGCCGGCTAAAATTAGTTGATTATGCAACTAATTAGCATGATTTTTCTTATATTTTTTTTTTAAAAAGAAGTAATTTTCAATTTCAGCAGAATGTATATATTTTTTAACGTAGTATAAAAATAGAATTAATTATTTTAACGTAGTAAAAATAGTATTGATTAGTCAAATATTAATAATTTATAATATTCATTTAATTCTTTAATAAAAATGGAAAAACAATGCTTCCCTTGTCAAAAACAATGCTATAATTTATATATTACTATAACGAACAAATATAAACAACAATCTTTTAGAAATTATATAAATATTTTGATAATGTGATAAAACCAATTTTAGATCGGAATAGGAACGTCAGAATAGAAAGTTAAAAATTACCATGTAAATCCTATAATAATATAATATATTTTAATTTAAATAATAATATAATGAATGTAAGGAGAGTGCTTGCATCATTTTGGCTTTAATTATAAAGTCTCTCCCACAATCCTACTTCTGTTTCTCTTTTTGACAAGTGATAGCGTATCCGCAAGGATAATATTAATTAAAAAAATTCCTTATAATTTTTGATATATAAGGATCATCGTTTTCTCCAAATGGAGGTTTGTGTCAGGAAGAACATAATGGTATATATTTGATTCAAATTATAAACACCTTTTATAAATACAAACATATAGAGATGGGGTACAGTTTAAAAACCTTAGGATTTTATTTATTTATTTGCGACACTTATAGAAAGCCTGCAGACTATGAAACAAAGAAGATAATTGTTAATCCGGAACGGTCAAATAATAATGTATACGGATTGTAACATTAAATAAGAGTAGCATGATGAGAGAGAAAGCGGTGGGAAGAAAGAGAGTGGTTGTATGCTGCATGCAAAAAAACTAGATGAGATGCAATTATGACCACGCTGGTGATAGTGTAATTTGTTGCCTAGTAATGGGTCAACTATTGGATTCAAAAAGATTCGACAAGCATTGTAATTATTATCAATATGGTAATTGATAACCGAATATAAGGTAATTTTGACGAGTGTCTTACAGGTTGACAGAAATGATGATAAGAAAGATATACTTTGATAGATGAGGTCGTGTTAGAAATTACGAAGAGCAGCGACTTGAATATTACATGCCGTAATTTATATTTAAAGTTCTGAGGGAGTCCTTGCGATCTTTAACTTTGACATAAGAATAATAAGTAGAGATATACTTCAATTTTGGGTTGTAGTGAAAATATTTATTTATATGTAACACGTTTTTAAGTAAGATAAAAAGAATTTGGTGATATATTAATTTTGAGGTGCAGGGAGTTCGGTATTGTCTTTTTAGTGAGGTGACGAAGTATAGTAAAATATTAAAAAATATTGGGAAAAGTGTTTCTCGAAATTTCCAATTATAGGAGATCTCGTGGTCATAGGTATGAGAAAAATCTAAGGAAACATGTGCTATTGCTCAGGGTCTAAGATCTAAATAGTGTGGGAGGAGAGTGTTTATTAAGGTTCTAATTTAATGGGGCTGATAATAGCTAGGCATTGGATGTTAATGCTAAGTGGGAGGCAATATGATTTCTTAGTTGATAACCACGATAGAAGTATGAAGTTGAACAAAAAAGATTACAATACAAACACAAGAAGACCTAGGGGTCTAATGCTTATGCCACGGCAGAAGAAATAATCTTATAATATTGAAGTTTTAAATCCATTGTAGACCTTTGGTTATTTTATATTTTTTAAAAATTTGGTTTTTTACTTTTGGAAACTTTGAATTATAGTGGTATTTTATAAAATATTTACTTATTTTTCTTTCAAATGATTGTTTATGGTGATATATTAGATGAACTGTGGGGAGAGGGGTATTGGTTTGAACTGATATTTACGAAAACAGACAAATTTCCGATGGGAGGGGGATTTTCTCACTTTCCCACCCCTATTTACGCGTATATTATAAGGAATTGGAAAAACAAAGAGCCAAGACATCAATATTTTATAAAGAAAGAGAGCGAATTGTAGGAAAATAGTGGCGAAGACGCAAAAGGGCTTGTTTTTAAATTTATTGAAGAGCAGGGAAGTGAAAATAAATATGATGAAAAAGAGAAAATATGAATTAGTTGGTTAATTTTTAAAAAAATCGTAAAGGAATAAAGGATACTCAAAAGAGGTATAAAGAAATGTTGTCAAATGATTCGAATAAATTGGATAAGAATATTTACTGTCAATAGGCCTTGTTAATCTGGAAAATAAGAACTTAAGAAAGGGTAAATAAGAATTTTAAAAAAGGGAAGTAGCAAACCAGAAGGTAAATATATAAGGTTCATGAAGATAAATTGAATGTCTCATTGACCTATGCAATTAGATTCTTCGTGAAAAGACAATACCGAAGTATTGGAGAAGAAATGTGGTCATCCCTGTTAACAAGACAAAAACTGAGATCTACTCTTCTCTCTTATGTTGAATGATTAACTTTTTGAATCTGGAATTGAATTTTCCAAAATGCTTTTGTCTAACAATATTTAAAAGTCTAAATTTTATTATAAAAATGATCACCTTTTTTCCCCCCTTTAATACATAGATTAAATTAATAAAATTTGATATAAGCAAGGAATTATTAAAAAATATAATAATTTTTCAAATTTAGTCTTATTTCATTTCACTAGAACTGATTTCTTCAAATTTTTAATATAATCAATTTATTATCATTCCATAGATTTTGATAGCTATACTCATCTAAAATATTTTTACCTATTGAGATGATTTTGCGAAAAAGATTTTTTGACCGAAAGGGATTCGAACATTTGGTCGATTTCGTTATTATTGTCAAAAAAATTGTCTTCCTCGAAGTTTCTAACAGTCGCTTTATTTATTTTAGTATCATATATGCCATCTATATTTAGCATTGATAGTCTAGTGGCCTTAGTATTTAGCGTGCTATATAAAAATGGTGTAGTACCTTTACTCCTCCGACCTATAGTGAAGATATCTTAAAAGAGATCATAAAAAATTAAATTATATTAAATCTTTTTTATATCATAGCCTATAAAAATAGTATACTATAGATATTTAATTTTATTATGTAATTTTTATTTAACAATACGAGAAGTAAGAAAATAGAGATGCTAAGCTTATACCACTAAAATTCTAAAATTTACTTAAAAATGCAACTTATTAATATAATAATTCCAATTACCAGTCCTTACACTCATCATGAACAGAAAAAATATTATTATACTAACTAAATAAGGAAGGTTTAAAAGCTGGGTTAAATTTATGATTGCTCGTTAAATGGTTGTATTGATTGAAAACTGATATGTCACCATCGTTGGGATTAATATATTGGTTTAAATTCGAGAATATATCATCGATTTCAACATCTTGACTGTAAATAGAAGTTGATAAAGGAGATCCACATAAATCAGAAGAATATAGATTATTAGCATTTTTTATTTTGTTACGGGTAACGTTTTGAATATCCGATTTTCTCGAGGTAAAAGGTTCTGTATCGTCATTTACCGAGAATTTATTTGTAAATATCTTTTTGATAGATCTTGGAGTTAATGTCTGTTCGATATTATTGGATCCACCATTAAAACCTTTTTCATCCGAATTATTAAAATTTGGAAAATATCTGGTAAATGGATTGTGGATCTTTGGTGAAGTTTGACGATAATTATCCCTGTGACCCATAATTTTATCTTGACTTTTAGAAACAAATGTATCAAATTGATCCCCATTGATGAAACTTGAAAAATGCTTATGTGGTGTATTGGATGAGGCATAATTATCCTCTTTAACAGATTTATTCAATGTCGATTTAATTGTGCTTAATGAATTCATATTTAATTTCTTAAATAGTTTTTCGATTAAAGGATTTTGTGCTGACACTGTACGAGAATCTAACGATGACTTATTACCATTAAAGTTAGGGACTGAGTAAGTATCACTTTTAAGAGTGTAATTAATATTGTCAAAATTTGGTTGATAATTTCTGACAAACGAAGTATTTATGCTTTTATTACTATGCAAGTATTTGCTTGATTTTATTCGTTTTGATGCCTCTTTTAAACTCTTGGCTTTTAATCTGGTGACCTTTGAACCATCTATGCCAATTCTTTGCGATATTTTTGTGTCCAAATATTTGACGATTATGTAGTGATCTCTTAGGGCTGCTAAATCCAGAGCTGTTTTATATTCATTGTTTAACGCCCATAAGTTTGCACTGAAAGATACTAAAAATGATACGCAATTTAAATGCCCATTCATTGAGGCATAATGCATAGCCGTGTTTCCGATTTTGTCCGGTTTTTCTATATCACCGCTATAAAAAAAAAGATGTTTAGTTTATTTAAATATTATTAAACATAGTATATAAAATTGAGAAATTCATCTTATCTTGTAGATAATTTTGACCTTTTTCCGGCTATAATTCTTAAGGAATCAATGTTTCCATAAAATGCTGCCCAGTGGGTGGGCGTCATCCCGTTATGATCAGGTGAATTGAGATCTTTTGTGTTCGATCTTTTTAATAAATCCAGACAATCTTCCTTTGCAGCTCTATGATATAATGTGTCAACGAATTTCATAGCTTAATGAACTTATAGAAATTTATATTGGTTTACTGAATGGTAAGAAAATATTAATATTAAATTATTAATAAATAGTCCACAAGTTATTAAAATTCAAATGGCATAGAAATATATAACTGATTATCTGTTTTACACTATTCTTAAAATAATTTTTAAAAATTTTGGTTCAAATAATATTTCAAAAATTATATAATAGTTGCAGGGGATGTTTGTGTAGAATGATGGTATTTTGTTTATTTATCACAAAATCTTTAAATAGAAGCAAATCACAGCAAACTGTAGATTAATGTGTAGTTCACTCTAGAGGTCTGCATTAGGCGCGTATTTAGTCCGCCCGGGTGGGAGGTTGAGCGGATTAAAAAAGAACGGGCGGGCCGGTGGACAGGTTTCGAAAAATATTTAAGCAATGGGTGGGCGATGGGTTAAAAAATTTAGAACTTTTATTTGTTATTTAAAATCATTTAAGTAACCATTAAAATAATATGCTCCCTGAAATTTCAACATTTGTAGTACCAAAGGACCGATAACTGAATATTCTTTCGTCTGAAGAAATTAATTAGGTAAAACAAAATTTATAAAATATGTTGGATTTGATTTATATGGAAGAATATACATCGATGTTGATGAAAATCTGATTTTACCCGTTTCCCCAAAGGCAAAATGCCATATTTGAAATAGATAACATCCATATCAAAATTAACAGATGGGAAGATGTAGTTGTAACAGAGGAGAGCATTACCTAATGACATAACAAAATATTTAAATCTTAAAGTAACAAGTTTTTGTATAATTTAGTAAGATTTTAAGCTACTTAGTTTAAATTTACATTACTCCTCTATTTATTTATTATTAATAGTTTTACTTTTTATTTAAATATCTCACTTGAGTAGGAGTCTATTTTGATGGAAACGACAAGAAAAGCTAATTAGCTAGAAAAATATTGGCAATTCCAGCAACCAGTGAATGAGAAATTAGTATTGCTGTAAGTTTTATCAATAATCATTTTATATTACTAAATAAATATTTAATTAGATCGAATCAGAGTTGTTAAACGCTACTTTTAAAAGTAGCACGCTACCGCTATCGCTATTTGTCAATAAAAGTAGCGCGCTACCGCTATCGCTATTTGTCAAAAAAAGTAGCTTTATAAAAAAAATTTACAAACAAATTTTTTATTTTTTGCTTATAATGTTATTTATTGTATAGTAAATATATAAAAATCAACACTTATAAATATTAAAATATAGTTAGTTTTGATTATAAAAAAATTTATGTAATAAAAATAAATATTTATGGTAATTTGTTGCATTTTAATTATAAAAACATTTCAATTTTATCATCCCCAAGTCTAGAGTGACGATCAGAAAGTATAAGTTTTACCTTACTAAATAATCTCTCGACACTAGCACTTGAGGGTAAGGGCGTATTTAATCTTATATACATATTTTTAATATAAGATAGATTATCAATAATTTTATTTGAAAGTACATCGTATGTCTGGCATCCTATTATCATTTTGAGGATTAATGCCACAGATCTTCTTTTTAAAGTCCTAGGGTCTAGCCAATGGCCTGTGATACCCAAATAAGCTCAAAAATATTTATTCAGATCAATTTATAAATATAAATAAGTTTTTACCGTCTGTTATGTGTCCAACTATCTGCCGTGATACATATATATGATATCTCTGATAACTCTACTATTAGAGCATCTTTCATTATTTTAAAGTTATCTGCTATTTTTGCATTAGTATCTGGCGGCATAAAATTGTTGTACTAGGGGATAAAGTTTAATCATCATGGTAAATGATGGATTATCAACCAAGGGCATTGGCTGAACTGTATAAATTATAAAATCAACAATAACTTTATCAGCCAATTTCTGAGAAATATTGTCATTTGCATTATTAATCAATTTGGTTTGAATTGAATTAGTCTTTTTGGATGTAAGTCGCCTATACCAAAATTATTTAGATGTTTCTCCATTTCCTTAAAACTCATGAATAGTCTTATAAAATAAATATTATAAGAATGTAAAAATGACAATTTACCTTAGGTGATACTTGAGGTTATAGCTACTGGATTAATTTGAGGAAATATTTTTTTTTACATTTTAAATAAATAAATTTGAAGCCAGTTTTGGATTATATATTTATTTTAAAAAATTTTTATATCTAGGGAATGAGAAATTTGTATTATAGCTATTAAGAACATTTCCTTCCCTGGTATCTTCCATTTCATTAATATATTGTCTGAATCACTTTCAACGATTTAAATATCCATAGGCGATGACATTTTAAATTATTAACACGTGATTTAGGTTTATTATACAAGTGAAAATATAAATTACTAATTGAAAATATATTTCAATTTCAAAATTAAATAATAAATCATAAAAATTATAATTAATTATGATATTATATTTAAATTTTCATGTTTATACTTACCTTCATTATATTTTTTAAAAGACTTTCAAAAAAAGTAGCGCGCTAAAAAATTAAAAAAATACAAAAAAGTAGCCGCTATTAGCTATAGCTACGAAAAAAGTTAGCGCGCTACTTTAACAACTCTGGATCGAATGAATTCCTTATTCATAATTTAAATTGAATATTTATTTATTCTAAATATAGCAATTTCCTATATTATAGAACTTTTGTAGGGGTGCAGCGCTGAAACTGAATCATTGCTTAAATAAATATAATGAATGAGCCTATTTAAATTTTATATGGGCGGCGTGAGTTAAAAATTTTTTATAAATAATGGGCAGAAGAATAAAAAAAATTTAAACTAATGGACAGACGGATAAAGAGTTATCCACTAAATAGCAGGCGAGCGGGTATATTTTTTAAAAACTATGGGCGAGTTAAATTTTTTAAATATTTGACGGGCGGGCTTCTGGTCTACAAACTCGTCCTTGCAGACCTCTTCTTCAATCCCTAACCTATAAAATCAAAAGAGTGTAGCTCTCTACTTATTAAAATGTAAGAGCTATAATTATTTATATAATCTTATATTTTCGTCATTTTACCCCTTATCTAGGGTAAGCTAAGAACCACAATGAAATATTTTAAAATAAATATGAATACAACTCTATTGTTCTATTGAACAAAATATAAGCCATTTTGGCATTCATTTATTACTCTTAATTATTAATAATAAATACAATAAGGTAATATAAGAAAATCTTATTAGCATATTTTAAGTAGTATTTTTTAAAAAGTTTATTCCATATAACACTTAAGCTATTAGTTAATATTTTTTTTGCTCAAAAATTTAGCAAAATATAAACAGAAACATTTGCCAAATTACTAAGAAACTATATATAAAAAACATACATCTTCATACCAAATTTGAGATCTTTATGTTTAAGGTTTGAAAAGTTATTTATAGCAAATTTAGCCCCGTATCGGTCAATTCAGCAAAACTTTTATCGCGAAACACTTTTTCGCGAAACTTTTATCGCGAATGTCGTTTATCGCGAAGAAATTTTATAGCGAAGGTAATATCGCGAAACCAATTCCGCGATTTTTTTTCCGCGAAACATTTATAGCGAAGACAATATCGCGAACTTATTATCGCGAATTTATTTCCGCGAAACCTTAACCGCGAATACTTTATAGCGAATACATTCTAGCGAAACTTTGATCGCGAACTCGTTATAGCGAATTTATTTCAGCGAAACTTTAACCGCGAATACTTTATAGCGAATACATTTTGGCGAAACTTTGATCGCGAACTCATTATAGCGAATTTATTTCCGCGAAACCTAAACCGCGAATACTTTAGAGCGAATATATTTTAGCGAAACTTCGATCGCGAACTCGTTATAGCGAAACTTTAATCGCGAACCATTTCTAGCGAATTTTCTACCGCGAATGTATTTGCGGGAAATTATTATAGCTAGCGCATGACCGCTAAAATTGCGAATTCATTTTAAGTGAAATTGATATATTCAATATCAATTTACCAACCGAAGTTTCTTAAATCGTAAACGCGAATGTTTTAAGAATATTTTATTACGTATTGTTTTTAATAAGCATGTAAACCCTATCTGATGTGATGTGATAGAAAATATATTAGTCTTTCTTGTCTCACTCACTCATGGTTGTAAGTATGGAGGGGACATTTTGGGTTAAATTTTTACGAGAATATTTTAACCCCCCCCCCTCCACATAAAATTTTAAAGTGTGCTTTATGTCATTTAAATGAAATACTTATTTTCCAATCTAGATAAAAAAATATACTGAAAGCTAAGAATTTTTTATTGATTTTCTCAGATTATTTTTAAAAATTATAGAAGATTTTACTGATAATTAATGCCTCCTAATTACAATTTTTAGATAATGCACATCTATATAAATTTCTGATATAATAGTAACTAATTCATTTGAATATTTTGATTCCTTTTTCTTCTTTTCGCATTTTAATAAATAGAAATAACTGCAAAGTTATGATTAATCAAAAGAAAATTTCAAAATATTCTATTGGATTACATAAATTTGTAATATTTATGAAGAATAAATTATGGATATAAATCATTAGATCTTCAGTTATTTTAGTTTTTATTTTTGCTGATTTCACAAGTCTAACTAAACAATATAAAAATTAAAAAACGTAAAATAGTTTTCATCATTTTTTAAAATAATACCAGTTCAATTTAAATCACAGCGTTTTTATGAAAACACCGCTAAACGCTTCTACTCAATTTGTAAGCCCTTTTACTTATTATTTTTTCTAATAAAATGGAATTAAAAAAAATCAGGATTTTTTGAAAATAAATAGAAAATGTTCCAAATCAAGAAAATAAAGACATTCCAATATCGGGAAACCAGGGCAAAATGGAGTGTTTATTTATTTACTCTTACATATTTTACCACGACAAGGATGAAGGGGGAGGGGTGGTTTGTTAGAAACATTTTCTAAATTTTGAAAAAAATATATAAATGAATGATAATAAAAAATAAATGTGGCTATATTTTAATTGATTAAATAGGTGTCTGTCTGTGTCT